CCCAGATACTCTAACAAGCGTCGACAACCTAGCTACCGTGATGCAAGCCCAAGGAAAGTACGATGAATCAGAGACGATGAATCGGCGTGCACTAGCGGGGTACGGGAAGATTCTTGGACCAGACCACCCAGACACCCTAACAAGTGTCAGCAACCTGGCTTCTGTGCTGGCGTGCCGGGGGAAGTACAACGAATCAGAGAGGGCGAATCGGCGTGCACTGGAGGCGCGCGAGAAGATTCTTGGACCGGGCCATCCAGACACTCTAACAAGCGTCGACAACCTCGCTACCGTGATGGAAGCCCAAGGAAAGTACGATGAATCAGAGACGATGAACCGGCGTGCACTGACGGCGTACGGGAAGATTCTCGGGCCGGACCACCCAGACACCCTAACAAGTGTCAGCAACCTGGCTTCTGTACTAGCGTGCCGGGGAGGTACAACGAATCAGAGACGGCGAATCGGCGTGCACTGGAAGGGCGCGAGAAGATTCTCGGACCGGGCCACCCAGACACCTTGACAAGTGTCGGCAACCTGGCTGTGGTGCTCCAAAACCAAGGAAAGTATGCTGAATCAGAGATTATGTATCGGCGTGCGCTTGAGGGCCGCGAGACGATTCTTGGACTCAACCACCCCAATACCCAATTGAGTGCTAACAGCCTGGCTACGCTGCTGCGATTACGAGGAGAGCGCGGTGATTCATAGACACTGCGATAGTGTGCACGGTGGACACTACCAGGAGCCTCAGGGGATATTAAGACCACAGTTTTCTCGCGGCGTTTTCCGTTCTCTGAGGGGGGGTATTAGTTTTCAGTAGGGGCGAGAGGCAGGCGAAGTAATTACTCGTATCGCAGGTAGCTAGGCTAGATGAAAGGCCGTAGGGGTGGTCTACCAGCTTCTACCGTGGAGGTGGCTCCACGGATCTAAGGTGGACCAATTTATGATCGGACGAAACCAGCATGAATGGCGAGCTAGAGCCCGTAAGTGGCGATCAGTTGAAGCGTAGTAGGGAGGAAGTGTTGGACATTTTAATCCTACCCCGGAGTTTTATTCTCTGTTGTTTCTTTCTCTTTTAACAATATACTGTCCCCTGTTTAATTTGAAATGATCTTCCTTCCCATCCGATAAGTTCCTTGTTTCACTCCATTACCACTGGTAATCACGAGAAGTCACTCGTTTTACAATATCCAATCGAGTTCTATAAAATACCGATACACAATATGAGCTTCACACCAGCCTCCCATGCCATGCTATTTAATAGCTTTCCTTGTAGCTTGAGGACCGAATTCCATCTCCACTGGACAGAGCTAACCACGAATCACAACTTGCCCACTTCTCCCCCACCGGACCAGCAGACTAGTACAACACCCTAGAACCTGTCAGCAAGCCACCGATGCTGCTGCAATACCAAGCATAGTTCGGTGGGCTAGAGACAATGAGCCGCCGTCTAGTGCATCGTGTGAGATCGACCCTCACTTAATATCCTGTATCATCACATGGATTCAACTCATCCCTCCGGGGGGAATTTGGTACCTTCATTCCTCCTGTTCACGAGGTAGCAAACCCAGGATCTACCCACTTGTGAACGTGAGGCGGCTCATTATTTTGGGACCGCATTTGACCGGAGAGTTTACGTGGAATTTAAGGGTTCAGTTGCAGAAATGAACCATACCACCATCTGTCTCGGGTATGAGGGGACTAGTCGCGGTCAAGTGTGTATGCTCCCCTCCGCTAAGATGGGGATATCGTAGTGTTTCACCCAGTCCACAGCCTGCAGCCCCGGATCTCCAGTGTGTCGGTGGCCGTTGCACCAACTGGGATGGATGGGGGAATGGGGCCCATTGCCCGATGCTTCAACGAAAACCCTAACTAGGTATGGGGAGACGAGTTTTGGCGAACGTAGTGGGATGAACGACGAGAACCCCCCCTCCCGCAACGTGTTGCCTTGGCTGTGAGATGGGGGAGGAAAGGATACTTGGACTCCGATAGGCGCCTCGCGCGCGACGCTAACTCACCACATGTTTATCGAGTTTCTGATCTGGTATCGGGTTCTCGTGCTTACAGGGTGAATCGTCTCTGTTGCTCGAGATATGTTGGAAGAGTTGGAGGATTAGGGCGCTTTCTAGATTTCGGGAGGAGGGCCGCGGAGTTGAACAACGGGGAGACGCCTTAAACAGGGATAGAGTTGATCTCCAGGAGTGCTGGTGAGCCCTTTCGGAAACATTTTTGGCTTATGGTTGGGAAAAGCCGTGGCGAGATGAGTCGGTCTACCCATGGTGGTGTTTTACTTGTTTTCTGGGTTTATTAGGGGATTAGTTAGGGAGTGTTTAGCCTACCAAATCTGATTTGAAATCGTGATTTGAGATCAGATCTTGGCAACTTTAACTTGGATTATTACTTCTAATTACATACAGCTCCTAGATTAATAGTATAAATAATCTAAGCTAAAGTTGCCAAGATCTGATCTCAAATCACGGTTTCAAATCAGATTTGGCGGGCCAAACACCCCCTTAGTTTTAGAACACTTCCGTGCAATCTAGGTTAAATTGTGTTGGAACGTGCCCAAAAACCTCAAAAATCAGGGTAATGATGTTCGAACTATTTTTTCTCTTTGAATTTCTAGTGAAGTCTCCCCCTATGTAAAGATAATTACCTTTGAATTTTCGATCACTTGGGAGCCTGCAAACACCTACAGGATAGCCAGATCTGGTGGGATGAGCCACAAAAGCTGGGCTGTAGGTGGCAATCCGGGCATGCCAGTTCCCGGAAAAGCTCCGGCCTTCCGGGTTGGGCCTAAAGCGTCACTGGGCGGGTGCCTTGTGAGCACCTTTTGGGGGTTTATCTGGTTCCTTCACATAAGGCTGTCTATTCCCTTATGGACAAAATGAGCCGGGGGGTAGCAACACATCAGAAATCGGCATATGATTCCCAGACACGGGAGATTTCAGCGTGCAAGGTCCACAAGCGGCGCGAAGGAAACAGTGGAGGGGCGTTAGAGGGTTCTCAGGATATATAATGACCAAACCCGATCCACCATTACTATCCTAGCTATATTCTTGCAGAATAGGGTAAATTATGGTGAAGAGAACGACTGCGATGCAGGTACTCGAGGGCAGTGAGAGCGTATTGGACCCCGCCGTCCTGCCATATGCACTACCCTCGGCGGTAACGCCCAGGCACCTGTCGGTTGGGGAATGTATGAAGAGATATAGGAAGCTAAGTCGCTGCGGGCCGGGAGAGAGGGAAAAATAAACATTGCGAGAGCAAGCTGAAATCCGTGGAACCCGGGGCTTCTGGGTTTGCTGTTAGTATGGGGGGGGGGGCAAGGATGGCATCCTGAAGCCGGAAACCATTGAATCGGGCTTGCCAGGGACCCTACAGAACTTCGACAGTACTTTGAAATGCATTAGGCAGCCGAGGGCGTTATGAGAGAACAGGAGACAGGCCCGAAAGGGGTGGTTAGGTGCTGGGGGAAGCGGTTGTCAACGAGCCAAAGTTTCGCGCACCATTGATATAATGGAATTCGTGCTATTTGTACCATACCAAGATGAAGAATATGGAGTCTTAAGGAAAGCCATGTTGGCAGCACGGTTGGGAATATAATTACTGTTAGGTGAGTGCCAGGTTCCTGGCAGGGATTTGGAAGTGCGACGGTGATACAATAGTGTCGGGTGGGAGTGACCGTTGTTTGTGTCTACAGTATGTTTCAACGGAGGATTTGGGTAGCCGGGGAAATTTAGTTAAAATAAGGAGGGAATTGCATGACCGTAAAGTCCAAAATATACATATTGGTGTGGAAGTTCTCAAATTGGCAACGTGCTCATCCGATACAAATATTGGCCTCTCTGGCTAAGTCCAACTTCAAAAATCACCTTGGGGGAGGAGTTGTCTGGGAACCCCCCGATCCCTCGGCTTGTCCTGCGCTACACGGCTATACGTGGAATTTTCTCTATAATATGTTTAATGACCCCCCCCCCAATCCCTGGGAGGTCTGGAAGCCTCTGTGATACCCCTTTTTTGTTGCTTTTCAAAGTTTCCTACCTGCTTGCTACCCCCCTAGTGGCTCCCCCGTTTCCTGCGAAGATTGAATATTCTCGGCCGGCACCCCGCCAGTCTGTATTTTCAGCAGCGAATGCCTCTAATGACATTCTTTACGTAATAGAATGATATCTATCCATAGCGCAACTCTAGCCTACGAATCCGAGGGGTTTGACACCACCGGAAATGCTGTGACACCACTGTGGATCATCTTCAGCTATGCTCTGTTGCCCACGGTCAGTTTCCTTTGCGCCAGTTCCTTTCCGGCTCCTTTTTTCCGTTTATTATAAACATACATCTTATGTGAAAACAATTGGTATTACGACAGCAGATATTGACGGGTTCCGAGTGACCGAGCATGATTTCTAGACCTTTTCGGCAGCAATCTGTACTTGAGTAAATTCTGCGATGGACTGTAGGGTTTCGATACGACCGCTGGGCCATATTTAGGGAGCTCTGGAAAGACTAGTGAATATGGGGGACTATGGGGTTGGCTGAAGCTAGCCGGGTAGAGGGGGAGACGGCAGGGTATATGAAAAAAAGGCTAGAGAGGAAAGGAAAGACTGTAAGGCGCAGTAATAGACGCGAGGGCGGTAGGGTACAAAACGATGGGCGGCTACCGAAAGTGCATGACAATTATATGTAATGTGCCCCTGCGCCTAACTCGCTAGGTTACGGGATCAATGGAAACTAGTGAGTGTGGTATTGGAGTTAAATAGGTAACGAAGCATCCAGAGTATGTGTTCTGCACCCCTATCATAACATATTCCCCCTTTGCCACTAGAACTATAGAGCGAGGGCTATAGTAATCGAGAAATAGCCTAAAACGAAGACTTATAAGGCACAGAATACCGGAGTTGAGAAAGGTATGACTGTAGAGTTGAAAGACTGGAAAGGGCGATATATACGAGAAAAACTTGGGAATGGTGATGATAGAAATGCTTATCACTGCTGAGAGATGATATCTGCATGGCTTAGCGTCCTTTCCAGATTAGAGGGATGAAATATACCGTACAAGCTAGTGAAGTGCACTATCTTCATCCCGGCATGTCTTGATTCCGCCGTGGCAAGATGTCACCGCTTTAGAATTTGTGCCTAGTGAATAGATTGTAAACTGGCTAGGCCTGGGCGGTGTATAGTAGCCCTCCACCATCCCGGATCCCCTGAGCCGGACTAGGTACCCCACTGAACAAGAGAAAATATTTCGTTCCTCCGGCTCCATACGGAAATCATCCCGTTTGAACCGGAAAAGGGGGGCCTGGGACCCCCACTCGACCCCGGGGGACCCCACTCGCTGCTCCTGTAGAGAATTACCCTGCTGAACCGGATACCGTACTATGGCTACCGACAGCAAAGCTATGATAAGGGAAGGAGGAGAAGCGGGCAGGCTAAATAGAGA